CTCCTCCTCCTCCTCCATCTCCTCCATCTCCTCCTCCCCGTTTTCTTCCATCTCCTCCTCCCCCTCGGGTCGCCTACGGCCCCGGGGGAGACCCTCGAGCCGCACCGCTCCGCGAGGGCCTCGGGGTCTCGTCCAGAGTCCGCCCTGCAGGGGGACGCTTGCGTTGCATCTTCGGGGACCTCGTCTGTCCCCCAACTTGGTGTCTTCTCTTGAGCCCGACGCGGGCTCGATGCGGACTCGACGTGGATCTGGCGTGGCTCCGACGCAGATTCGACGCGGATTTGAGGAGTCCGACATGGACTCGGCACGGATTCGACGCGGGTAGAGGCGCGACGGGACAGGCAAGGTCCCTCGAAGATGCAACAGGGGGACGCGCCCGACCTTATCTCAGGGGCCCGCTTCTTTCTTGCGTGGGGCATGACGGGCGTCATGGCCCCCGCTCCCCCCCCCATGACGCCCGTCATCGCCGAACATAAAGTAAATCGGGCCTGTCCCTCTAATTGAACATTAGTCAAAAAACAGTAGGGGGACTATGCTTTGAGTATTTTTTTTGACCATTTTGGAGTTTTCTTTTGGGGGGGGTATTTTTTTGTTACTTCGTCGACAATCCCCCTGTAGGGGGACACGCTCGACTTAAGCATAAAGACGCGCGCCCCATGGGGCCCGAGGTACGGCGAGCCAAGAGAAGACGCCCTGGGCGTCACTCGGAGGGGCCAACGTCGACGATGACGACCAGGCTGAGTGACTGGTCGTCGGATGCCGCGTTGAAGTCCCAGTCCGCCTCTCAGCATGGCAGGGGAAAGCGAAGTAACGCAAGCTACATCGCTGCCCCTGCAGAAGCTGAAGCTGAACAGAATGGGGGCGAGGACGCCCCGTGTGGAGGCCCCCTGCGGCGCGAGGAGCTCTCGGGGATGCCTGCCCCCCTTTGCGGCGGCGCGCCGGAGGCCTCCTGGGCGGCTCGAGGTCTCTCCGGGGGGCTCCGGGGGTCTCAAGGGCGAAAGTCGGGCGTGTCCCTCTACAGGAGGAAGTCCAAGATAGTCAAGAACTGACCAGGGGGAATCAAACAACTATTCTTGTTGATTCGAATATTTGCTGTATTTTTCGACCAAAATTCGCCTGTAGGGGGACATGCCCGACCTAAGTCAAGGGTGTGATTTTATTTATTCGGCTGACTGGGCCAAACTTCGGATGTCCACACAGCTGATCGTGCATAGGTCAAACTATTCAGGAGCGAAAGAAGGACGTACACGTGCATGAATCCACGATGGATTCGAGAGTAAGTACTGCGCGACCGTTCGTATCTCGCGGCCGGTCTCGCGGATCGGGCGGCCGTGTTCATGTACACGATTGGGCGCGTACGTCCTTCGTGGGCTCCCCAAAATTATCACCGGGATCCTGAAGTCAGAATTCTGGGCGTGCTGTTGTGGATAGGCCAGTACATTCAGTCAGGCCTGCCAGGTTTCGCGGATGGAAGAATAAGTTAAAACAAGAAACCGCCCACCAAATTACCCCAGCCCAGCCCGAAGGCCCCAATTTGCTCTCCATTCCTAGTGGGGGGGCGTCGGGGAACATTGAAAAAACACATGTGGAGCCTGTACCCCCCCAACCCGAAATGTGGGTCTTCGGGTGAGGTGGGAAAGGTCTGGTATGTAGTCAGGTGGTCAGCTCGAAGACTGCCAACACCCTGAAGGGCTGGCCAGTGAAAGCCGCGAAGGACGGACCGCAGAGGCAAGGACGCAATGCTACCCTAAGGACATCCGCGCGTCCTTACCATGAGTTTTGACTGTGCACGTTGGAGGCCTGGGTGGTCAGCTCGACACCCCCCGAGACATCTGCAGCTCCTGCCTCCGGTTCCAAGGAAACAAACAATGGCATACAATTAAGAATTCGCAGGTCCGCGCGGATTTTTCGGATCGGCGTTGGACCCCCTCCTTGGCGCGCGGAGCGCGCCATGGGGCGGCGCGGAGGCGCCGCCAGGGGGCCCCAGCGCCGATCCGAGAATCCGCGCGGACCTCCGAGTTTTCATGTCGCTGTTTGTTCCCCCAGGTTCTCCCTCCGCGTGCTGGTGGGGGACGTGGCGCAGCAGAGCAACCTCGTGTGCGGCTGCCTCGCCGCCTCCGACCGGCTCGCCCTGGCCACGCTAGCGCAGCGCGCGGACGCCTCGCTGCACGAGGCGCTGCGGCGCGCTTGCCCGGGGGGTTGGCTCGCCGCCGCCGCCGCCGCCGCCGCCGCCGCCGCCGCCGCCGCCGCTGCCGCCGCCGCCGCCGCCGCCGCCGCCGCCGCCGCGCCGTCTCGTCGTCCCGTCGTCGTCGTCGTCGTCGTCGTCGTCGTCGTCGTCGTCGTCGTCGTCGTCGTCGTCGTCGTCGTCGTCGTCGTCGTCGTCGTCGTCGTCGGCGGGCTCCCTGGAAGGCAGGGGCCTCGTCAGAGGGGCCCCGCGCGCCTCTGCGGAGGCCCCTCGGCGGCCTCCGAGCGCTTCCGCGAGGGCCCCCTGCCTTCGAAGAGGGCTCCCCTCTGCCCTCTCTGGCGGCCGCCCCCCCCCGCGCCCCCCCGTCTCGTGCGCGCCGCCGGGAGGCGCTGCGGAGCCCCCCCGCCGCGGAGGCCGACCGCGTGGAGCTCGCGGCGGAGACCGGGGAAGAGCAGAAGCGGCGGAGGCACAAGCCAGTGTCGTTTATCCGATCCCCATCCCCGCCCCCATGCCCTTCGAGACCCCCACCAAATGACCCCCCCCACTTGGGGATGCACCCCTCGAGACCCGGAGGGAACGGCCTATATCCCCATCTGGGGGGGCAAATCGGCCAGTGGGGCCCAGGCCACGCCGCTGGGGATGGGGATCGGATAAACGATACTCAACAAGCTATCGGGGGATCCGCGCGGGTTTCTCGGATCGGCACTGGACCCCTCCCCGCCTTGGCGCGCTCCGCGCTCCAGGAAATCCGTGAGGACCTCCGAGCGCTGATGTCTTTACTCCAGGCTGCTTCATAAGCACCCCCCCCGCCACCCCGACCGACGACGTGTTCTGGCCCCCCCCCCCACGCCCACAGAACCCAGCCCCTCAAGCGATCCCCCCCACCCCCACGCACCGCCAAGGACGGCCCTTGCTTACACCCCCACGCGACCCTCCCCCACAGCTTTTGGGCACAACCTGGAGGATGCAGTTTTTTTCTCCCCGCCCAGGAGATGGGGCAGATGCAGCGGGCGTTCCAGCTGGGGGCGGATGTCCCGACGTACGCGTTCCAGCTCAAGGTTATGATGTTCCAACCTGCTTTAGCCTTGACCACCAGAAAGAATTTCGAGCACCAGAAAAGTACCCAACAACTCGAGGGTTTTCACGTGTCGGGTCCTGGGAGACTGTTTCGACACTGTTTCGACACTATTTCGACACTTTTCCGGATGCTCGAAATTATTTCCTGGGATGTGGTCTTTAAGTACGATGGGAGCAACATAGCTCAAGGTTGACCAGTGGCTCGACCAGGTCGAGCGGAAGGCGCGGGAGCACCTCTACCACGCCTGCGCGTCCCCGGGGTGCCCCATGGATAACTGGGTGCTCAAGGCGGACTTCGAGCAGGCCAGCCGCTCCTCTCCCAACGTCAAGTCGGGCCTGTCCCTCTACAGGAGGAATACTCAAAAATAGTCAAGAAATACTATGTGGACGCTTTTTGGGCTATTTTTGAATGTTTTTGGAGTATTATCGGGGTATTTTCATGTTTTCGCCCAAAATCTCCCTGTGGGGGGGCAGGCCCGACCTAATCCTAAAGCCCAGCCAGTCCCGAAGAGCGCTCCTGAGCAGCGGCTGCGGGCACAGCAGAGAGCGGTTCCCCTCACCCTCCCATCCGGGGGGATGCCAACCCAGCCACCCGTATTGGGACCCACCATTAGGCGCGGACGGAGTCTGGCACGTGCACCTGGATATGCAACGCGGGCCACCAGAACACCGTGCTGCCATCGCGGGAGGACATCGACCAGATGAACAAAAACATCCTGCTGCACCCGGAATTCTACACCGACCAGTGCGGCGTGGACTCCCTGAAGCTGCGGCGCTTCCGCCTCTGCCCGATGTGCGTCCCAGAGGCGGCGGGCTCGCCCGAAGACGCCGCCCCCTTCCTCCACCTCCGACATCTCCTTCTCCTCCTCCTCCTCCTCCTTCTCCTCCTCCTCCTCTTGTTCCTCCTCCCGCTTCGAACGAGAAAAAGAAGGAGCCTCCACGAGCATCAACTTTCAGAGGTCCGCGCCGATGCCTTGCATCGGCGCTGGATCCTCCCCCTCCCGGCGCGAGGGGGCTCGCCAGGGGGCGGCGCTGGAGGCGCCGCGAGGAGGGTCTGGCGCCGACCCACGAGATCTGCGCGGACCTCGAAAAGCTTACGCTCTGCAGCCTTCTCTTGTCCTGTTTTCCTCGTCGTCGCCGTCCTCCTCCTCCTCCCTCCTCCTCCTCCCTCCTCCCGTCTCCCGCCTTCTCGCTTCTCCTGCCTCATCCTCCCTCTTCCTCGTCCTCCGTTTCCTCCTTCTCCTCCTGCGCTTTCCTCCTCTTCCTCCTCCCTCCTCCTCCCTCCTCCTCTCTCTCCTTTTCCTCCTCCCTCCTCCTCCTTCTCCTCCTCCTTGTCCTCGTCCTCGTCCCTCCTCCTCGTCCCTCGTCCCTCGTCCTCGTCCTCGTCCTCGTCCTCGTCCTCGTCCTCGGCCTCGGCCCTCCTCCTTCTCCTCCTCCTCCTCCTCCTCCTCCTCCTCCTCCACCTTCGCCTCCTCCTCCTCCTCCTCGGCTTCGAGAAGGGGGGGAGGGGAAGGAGGACGGAGACGGACGAGGCGGAGGGCGGAAGGGAGGGGCCCGCGCCCGCGGCCCCTCGGCCGGGGCCCCCGTCGGGGGCCGATGCCTGGCCTCCGCGCCCGTGGAAAGAGGGGCGGTGGCGAGCGACGGGCCCTCGTCTCGGGAGGATTGGGGAGCGTGCTCAGGATCGAAGAAGGAAGCACACATTTTTTCCCGGAAAGGGCTCCGGCCCAGGGTTCTCTTTTAGTAGGTAAACCTGTCCCCCGGTGCCAACTTGAAGGAGGCCGGCGGATTTTTTCCCTGATAAATATCGAGGTCGAAGGAGGCCGGCGGATTAAAATTTGAGGATGTCTCGAGCGAAACGCTTGTTTTTCAGAATCTCGAGCGAAACGCTGGTTTTGCAGAGTTGGGATGTCTCGAGCGAAACGCTTGGTTTCAGAATTTGTTGAGGATGTCTCGAGCGAAACGCTTGGTTTTGCAGAGCCGACCGCGACACGGAAAAGCGCTCCTCGCGCAGGAATTCCGAGGATGTCTCGACTAATTCGTTTGTTTTTGTACGATTTCCTGGAATTTTGGCAGGATGTCTCGAGCGAAATGCACGACCCCACCCTAGCACGACCATACCCCAGCACGACCACACCCCAGCACGACCAGACCCCAGCACGACCCCACCCCAGCACGACCCCACCCCAGCACGACCATACCCCAGCACGACCACACCCCAGCACGACCCGACCCCAGCACGACCCTACCCCAGCAAGACCACACCCCAGCACGACCACACCCCAGCACGACCTCACCACAGCACGACCACACCCCAGCACGACCACGCCCCAGCACGACCACGCCCCAGCACGACCACGCCCCAGCACGACCACCCCCCAGCACGACCACCCCCCAGCACGACCACCCCCCAGCACGACCACCCCCCAGCACGACCACACCCCAGCACGACCACTCCCCAGCACGACCACACCCCAGCACGACCACACCCCAGCACGACCACACCCAGTCGCACCCCCGTGGAATGTTTCGTGGCGTGTCTGGTTGAGTGGTTGCCTGTTCGTGGGGTGTCTCGTGGACTGTTTCACGGGGTGTCGCGTGGAATGTTTCGTGAATGTTTCGTGAGGTGTCTCGTGGAATGTTTCGTGAGGTGTCTCGTGGGATGTTTCGCGGGGTGTCTCGTGGGATGTTTCGTGGGATGTCGCCCAGTTGGGTATCGTGAAAACGTGACCATGCTGCACATGTCTTTATCCCTTTCCGGGTTCGTGGGTCCATCATGTTTCCCAGAAAGGGCTCGAGCCCAGGGTTCTCTTTTAGAGGTTTGCCCCCGGATCTGACGGCTGTAGGGCCGGCGAAATTATTCTGCGATACATTACGTGCGGGAGTAGGGCCGGCGGCATTATTTTTGAGGATGTCTCGAGCGAAACGCTTGTTTTTCCTGGAAAGGGCATGGGCCCAGGGTTCTCTTTTAGATGGTCTTCCCCCTGGTTTCGACTTGAAGGGGGCCGGCGGAATTCTTGTGCGATAAATTACGAGGTCGAAGGGGGCCGGCGGATTTCAATTGTGAGGACGAAGGCCATTTTTTTTTGGTTAAGATAAAAAAACAGCGGGTCGAGAGCGCACCTCTTCCGGTCGAAGCTAAGCGGGCCGCGCAGCGCACAGCTTCAATTAGCAAAGGGTGGGGGGCAGAAGGAGGGGCCTCACGTCAAGGCCAGGAGGAGGCAAAGGCCTGGAATCAGGCGGTGCCGAAGACGATGTGCTTGCAAAGGAACGCCTTGTACAGGAACCCGGCGGCGAAGTACCGGAAGAAGAAGAAACAACACATCAACATAAACTTTTGGCGCTCCGCGCGGATCTCTTGCATCTGTGCCGGGCCCCCCTGGCGGCGATCTGCGCGCCAGGGGGGGAGGTCCAGCGCAGATTCAAGAAGTCCGCGCGCAGCGCAAACAGTTTTTTCCCGGAAAGGGCTTGAGCCCAGGGTTTTCTTTTAGATGGTTTACGCCCGGTTTTGACTTGAAGGGGGCCGGCGAAATTATTCTGCGTAAATTGAACAAATGCGTTTCGTACGTGCCCGCTCGAGGAAAGTGCGCCCCCCATCTCGGATCCTCGATAAACAACGGGGTTCGCAGACTTCCGTTTTCTTTCGTAAGAAAGGAGGTGCAGAGCGTTTTTCGCATAATCTTCGACAAATAACGGGGTCTGGAGCCCCGACCGCGACGCGGAAAAGCGCCCCGCGCGCAGGAATTCTGAGGATGTCTCGCGCGTGCCGCGTCCCGCGCACAGGAATTTCGAGGATGTCTCGGCTAATTCGCTTGTTTTGTCCGGATTTCTTAGAATTTTTGCAGGATGTCTCGAGCGAAACGTTTGTTTTTCCCGGAAAGGGCCTGGGCCCAGGGTTCTCTTTTAGTAGGTTTACCCCCCGGTTTCGACTTGAAGGGGGCCGGCGGAATTCTTGTGCGATAAATTACGAGGTCGAAGGGGGCCGGCGGATTTCAATTGTGAGGGCGAAGGCCATTTTTCGCCACCACTCACGCAGATCGTGCTCTTGGAATGGTACCGCGGCCTCCGGAACGGCGCTGGGAACGGAGTCTTGGATTCTTGAAGTTGCATAAGTTCGGAAATAGCAGAAATTCTCTGTGTTTTTGGACCCTGACCCCGCCGATTTGCGTGAGGTGTGGCACGGAATACCAGAAATGGGTCAAATCCTCTGTGTTTTTGGACCCTGACCCCGCCGATCTGCGTGAGGGGTGGCGCGGAATTCCAGAAATGTGGCAAATCCCATGTGTTTTTGGACCCTGACCCCGCCGATCTGCGTGAGGGGTGGCACGGAATTCCAGAAATGTGGCAAATCCCGTGTGTTTTTGGACCCTGACCCCGCCGACCTGCGTGAGGGGTGGCGCCGAATTTCAGAAATGTGGCAAGTCCCATGTGTTTTCGGACCTTGACTTCGCCCAGGAGGGCCCAGGAGGCTCCAGGAGAGCCCAAGAGAGCCCAGGAGGGCCCAGGAGAGCCTAGGAGGGCCCAGGAGGACCCAGGAGGCTCCAAGAGGCACCAGGGGGCCCAAGGAGGGCCTAGGAGAAGCTCCAGGAGGCTCCAGGAGAGCCCAGGAGGGCCCAAGAGGTCCAAGGAAGTCCCAGGAGGGCCCAGGAGCCCTTTCGAGGGATCGTGGCCCTGGGAGCGCTGACGTAGCGTAATTTACGAGGGATCGTGGCCCTGGGAACGCGGGTGTAGTGTAATTTTTGAGGATGTCTCGAGCGAAACGCTTGTTTTTCAGAATTTGCTGAGGATGTCTAGAGCGGGGGCTTCGTGGGGGCAGAGAATTCAGAGGATGTCTCAGGCGAAATGCTTGTTTTCGTGTCCCGCTCGCAGAAATTCCAAGGATGTCTCGCGCGTGCCGCGTCCCGCGCGCAGGACTTTTGAGGATATCTTGACTAATTCGTTTGTTTTGTCAGGATGTTTTCTAGAATTTTGGCAGGATGTCTCGAGCGAAACGCTTGTTTTTCATAGTTTTTTTGCGGATGTCTCGAGGGAAACGCTGGTTTTGCAAAATTTTGGGATGTCTCGAGCGGGGGCTTCGTGGAGGGGCAGAATTCAGAGGATGTCTCAGGCGAAATGCTTGTTTTCGTGTCCCGCTCGCAGGAATTCGAAGGATGTCTCGCGCGTGCCGCGTCCCGCGCGCAGAATTTTTTAGGATGTCTCGACTAATTCGTTTGTTTTGCCAGGATGTCCTTGGATTTTGACCGGATTTCTTGAGCGAAGCATTTGTTTTTCATAATTTGTTGAGGATGTCTCGAGCGAAACGCTGGTTTTGCAAACTTGGGGGATGTCTCGAGCGGGGGCCTCGTGGGGGGCCAGAATTCAGAGGATGTCTCAGGCGAAATGTTTGTTTTCGTGTCCCGCTCGCAGGAATTCCAAGGATGTCTCGCGCGTGCCACGTCCCGCGCGCAGGAATTTTGAGGATGTCCCGTAGCGCGTCCCCTTGGCACGTCCTACGGTGCGACCCCATGGCACGTCCCTTGGCACGTCGCCTGGCGCGTCCCTTGGGACGTTTCGCGGCGCGTCCTCCTGGCATGTCCCCCTGTCAATTAGCTCTGGGGCAGCTACTATGTGTTCAGGCAGCTCGAGCTTCAGATCCAGATAAGTTCGGTCAGGATTCGGATGCAAAGGAAGACTCGATCCACGACGCTATAGAGCACAATCGCGGCATGGCACATCGCAATTCAGCACGGTGCAGCACAGCACAGCCCTCGGCACGGTACATAAGATCGATACAATCAGCATTGCACTTGCCCGTCACCCAATCAGGTGT